TGTAACCACGCGTGGGCTCGGCCATGTGTGCAATTCCAGTGGCTGATGCTGCCAAGGGTGGTTTTACCCCTCCTGTGGGAGCTGGGAAGCTTGAACCCACCCACGAGCACCTCACCCAGGGGGCACAGGGGGGCAGGAAGGCAGAGCCCCACCCCACCCCATGCAAAGTTGCCCACTTGGCCAGCACCCTGTGAAGCTGGAGGTGCCCACAGTGGTGTGAGGAGTCTGTGTCGGGGGGCGCCCCACGGGTAGCCCCTTACCCTGAACTTTGCTGGGCTGGAGGGGCTGTGGAGAGCGGAGCTGCTTGGGACCGTGGGCTGGGACAGCGGTGCTATTTCCCCAGCCCTGCACAGAGAGGCACCCCAGCCCAGCCCTACCAGAGCTGCCGTGGCCAGGGAGAAGCCCCTCCCCCAGCCCAAGCTGCTGCAGTGAGAGAAAGCTAAGGGGTCCTTTCTCCCCACCGCAGCCCTGGGGCAGCTTGCACCCCAAACCCCGCATCCTCGGCCCCACCCCAGAGCCTTCATCCCCAGCTGTATTAGGGGTATGGAATGGCTTCCGTATGAGAAGAGATTAAAAAGACTGGGACTTCTTAGCATGGAAAAGAGACAACTAAGGAGGGATATGATGGAGGTCTATAAAATCATGGCTGGTGTGGAGAAAGTAAATAAGGAGTGTTATTTACTCCTTCTCATAATACAAGAATTAGGGGTCACCAAATGAAATTAATAGGCAGCAGGTTTAAAACAAACAAAAGGAAGTATTTTTTCACACAATGCACAGTCAACCTGTGGAACTCCTTGCCAGAGGATGTTGTGAAGGCCAAGGGTTCAAAAAAGAACTAGGTAAGTTTGTGGAGGATAGGTCCATCAATGGCTATTAGCCAGGATGGGCAGGGATGGCATCCTTAGCCTCCGTTTGCCAGGAGCTGGGAATGGACGATGGGATGGATCATTTGATGATTCCCTGTTCTGTTCATTCCCTTTGGGGCACCTGGCATTGGCCACTGTCGGAAGACAGGATACTGGGCTAGATGGACCTTTGGTCTGACCCAATATGGCCACTCTTATGTTCTTAAACTGAATATGCATAGACATTTCTGTGGAAACCACTTCTTTTTTAGTGGACGTTTCATGTAGATTTTAAAATTGTTGTTGCCAGGTGAATCCAACTTGCCTCATTCTGGAATAAATCATTTTATGAGAGGTCATTAAACCTGGGCGGTGTCTTGCATGCAAGAGACTAGCTCTCTCTCAAAATAATGGGCTACAATCTCTAACCACCAGAGCATGAGAATGTTCTAGTTTCTGTAGTTCTAAAGCAGACCTTTCACCGAATATGAGAGCTTATCTATATTAGCAAACATCACCAGTATATGGGAATCAATTTTAAATTATTTTATTACATCAGTGCAAACTCCTAGTGCAAACACATTTAAACTACTTTAAACCATATTTATACTGGTTCTCTGAATTCAGTAAAATAATCAGATCAAGCTAAACTGCTTTAAAGATGATTTAAACCAGTTTAACTGCATGTATATTAAAAGTTTGCATTGGTGTAAATTGATTAGGTTACATAAGAGCAAAATACCATGCGGAGATGTGCCCTCTATGCAGGGCCGGCTCCCGCATTTCTACCGCCCCAAGCAAAAAAAAAAAAAAGTCGCGATCAGGGGCGGCAATTGGGGGAAAAAAAAAAGCCGCGATTGGCGGTGGCAGTTCAGTGGCAGATCCTTCGCTCCTAGAGGGAGTGAGGGATCTGTCACCCCCGAATTGCCGCAGGTGCCACCCCTCTGTCTTGGCCGCCCCAAGCACCTGCTTGTTATGCTACTGCCTGGAGCCGGCCCAGCCTCTAGGTACCTGTATTTTATCCCTTTCACTCTAGCTAACTGATTAACCACCCAAAACAAAGCACAAATTGAGGGGATAGGTGGTTCTGTTATGCC